TCGATGCGGTTTTTTTTAATTCATCAAATGGTTATCTAAATTAATAGATATAATAGCTAAGGTCAACATCTTTTAACAGTCGAAGTCAGAATGGACAATAACTTGATCTTGTGGCGTTGGTAGAACCATTTCGAAACTATTGGGATACATTCATTAAGTGTATACTGCGGGCGATATTAACCAATGGCGGGGCAACCTGCTCCACTCCACACTTTAGATCCGGCGAATTTCTACTTAATACCCTGACGCTTAATTGAACTTTGCGAGAAAAATATACATGATTTTGGTTTCGACAGGTATAAATAACAAATGGCGCTTCCTGGATAGATGAAACAGGAACCAGAAAAATTATACATCTTCTTTTTGATTCTATAAGCACAAGTATTGGCGGGAGTGAATAAATACGAAACTGGCATAGCAGAGCTTGGCGCGAGATAAGAGAAACACGACAATAAAAGTTTAGTTTCAGGAGATCGAACTGCCCGTTTTGCATGCCCATATTTGAACACATCTAGCAAGGCCTAAGCTGCAAATTATATACACGGCCCCCTGGATATATATCCCATAATAATTATGGGATATATATCCCATAATTTGTGAGCACCTTGATAAAACAGTGTGGAACAATTAACGACTCACGGGTTTTCTTGATATTGGCTAAAGCAAAAGAGAAGAAGATTTACCCATGATATATCCTGTCCTCATGCGATCAGCCTTTTTATCGGTGTTTGGTCGCATTACTTCTTCTTTACGTGAAATAAAACTCGTGTGAAAAAGTTGAATGATGAGATAAACTGTTTATTACACACCAGTGTGGAATAAATCAACATAACTAAAATCCTGTTAAAAATAATACTTCAAAACCCCCCAAAACGCCACAGCTCTGCTGATACTGTTTGTGTTCAATTCAAAGTTTTGCAAAAATGCCCGCAACATTGATGGCTTCAAAGACAGTAGTGACAACTCTGCGGCTATGTACAACTGTGCAGCTGGTGAATAGTTCATCAGTTTGGATTAAGAAGAAAAAGGAAAAAAATGTCGTGCATGAAAATCTAATAAACACTTATTCTTGGACAAAACATTTTTTCCATATTAACGTCGTTTGAAACTCTATTACTGAGGGAAAATCTTAAGCATAATGACTCAAAATTGAAAAGTTTATCTGCAAAAGCTAAGTCTTTTTATGGGTGAAAATGTTTCTTGCTTGATGAGCTTCGGCCCTGAAAGTCCCTATCGAAGATTTTTCCTTGACGGACCTAGGAACTGAGAGATCACAAGATGTTACTTCCGTGTACCTTCTATGAGAAGCTCCTGCGGTTCTCTTTCTTGATCCTTCCAGATCGGTCTTGGTATCACAATTCTCTTATCTCTGACTGTGTTTATGCTCATCTCAGCCGATATGATGCCGCCCACATCAGACAATTTTCCTCTTATTGGTAAGACACAAATCAACCCCCTCCCTATAAAAGGTTCCCGAGGCTAAGAAAAGTAAAGTGTCTACAATCAAAACTTAAGATTTTCATCTGGTCAGTGGCAACAATTCGATACTCCCCTTAACTTACAGATTTATGCCCTATTTGTGATATCTTCTTCTTGTCTATTACACACTTTTAGGTACATAAGGCCTATATAAATTCAAACTTCAAAGTTTATCGTAGACTTAAAACTATTGAGAATTTTAAATTTTTCTTGAAATATTAACTATAGTTTTGCCAAAGTGTGCTGATTTATTTTGTGTGCGTTTATTTGTTTTTTGTTAAACTTACACATGTGAGTTTTCTATTTATTAGGGGCAAAACAAAAGGATTTCAAGTGTCTCATATTACAATGTAGTTGATAAAACTTACGATAAAAGACAACACAACTTCAAGAAGGTGCAATGTGCATATTATCCTTAGTTCCATGGATCATACGCCTGTATGATCCATTACCTGGGATTTCTTGTGTTCTGGAGGAACGCATTGTTCAAGGCCTCTACTCGGAACAAAACCAGCTTCGGTTTCTCTCGGTGTTTTCCAGCGTTGAGCAATGTCAGTGTTCCATTTCCTGGACATTTGCATGCAATGCACGCGGGAAAGGTTTTTGTAATTTGTGAGTTACAGTTCTCAAGATAAATTTTGTGTCAGTTTTTTGGAAAGTTGATCAGTGTCTTTGTGCAAGTTTTGACTGGGGCAAAATTAATCTTGAGGGATTTGTTTTTATGCGGGGGGGGGGGGAGCTGGGGAATTTGTGAGGTTCTAAGCCCCTACTTCCTCGCACAGTTAGAGGGGAGTTATTTTTGTGTGTGTTAATAACAGGTTTTGCCTTTACATCGACGTATATGTATAACACTGTATACTCAGTTTGTCAAAGAGCTTGCGAATAAAATTCACAAGCTAACTTAAGTGGGACTCGAACCACTCGACTACCGCGCTTGCTAGGGTTGGCTGGCCGGCCTGACACAAAAACCGAGAATGCAGTGTTATAAATATACATCGATGTAAGGGCAAAGCCCGTTATAAGAAAAATCAACATCTCTCACATTCAAGTAGATCTCGTCGTAGAAATGATCTTGCTGTCAACGTACTCTTGTTGACAAAATCCTTTAGGTCTATTTACTGGATGAAAACAACTGTTTATTACAGGTGTTTCGTCATAAGGTGATCTTTCCGAGTTATTAATTGCTTTTACAGAAATTTCGATTATCTTTTAGATTTCGATTAGTTTTTTAAGACAAGAGAGTGCTAATAAAATGCATACCTGATTTCCAAGGCAGTTTTTGTTAATAAGCTCAACCTACAATGGCTGTATTCACCTCTTGTTTTCGACACTTTGCTTGAAACTGTGAGTTCAAAACAAATATACATTAAAGATTGTTTCACTGGGACGTTTTCATCCGGGACAAGGTATTCTAAAAACTGAACCTTCTCTTTTTTCTTTAGCAGAGATAGTCTCTGCATTTCATTTTCAGAAGCTGTTAAGTTTTATTTTGTGACCTGGTCCCAGTTCGCATACGATGGTTCACTTTGAAACCAACAACCCCCGAGTCAAAACCTCCCTCCCAAAAGGAACCGAATGATTACTAATAGAAACCAGGTAAACCAAAATCCAACCCAAGTCTTTCGGGTTTCAAGAATATGATAGGATGGTGAAAAACACCGAAAACAAAACTTGTAAGTAATTCTTGTTTTGTAGATATTTGTTAAACGCACTGCCATTATGAAGAACAAACACTATAGTTCGAAAATGATGCAAGGTTTTGAGAGTTAGTATGGGGTATATATAAGACACAGAATCCAAAATTTAGTGCAGACTTGTGGTTCGAATTCTCAGGTCGAGCATTTTACACCAAGAGAGACATGCTTTTATGTGTCATAGATTAGATGTCTCTTTGGAAATAATTCTGACCTGAATGAGGGACATATTAATATGTACGTGTATATGCTACTGTGTTGAAGCCGAGTTGGAATTGTTACGAGGCTACATTGACACTGTGATCCTTGATGGACTTCATCAAATTGAATGAATGTGATCTCAGAACAGATTAAGAGGCCACATTGTGGAATGTGGCCCTATACTGTTTGATCTAGACATGATTTGGATGTCGACAACATAGTCCAACACAAAAGAACGTGTATGTACCGTCGTGACAAAATGTAATTTGACTTTGTTCAAGTGCTCAGTCAATCTTGGAGACTTACTCGATCGGTGGATGTATCGTCATTTCTTCGAAAAATATTAAAACTGTATTTAAGAAATGTAAGGAAAAAGGAAATAAGAGTGCCTTGACAGTTATCCTAGTACTCATGGCTGGGAAGTCCCAAAATAACTGTAAGGACATATGGTTTAAGAAAACGGAATGGAAATATCTTTTACATTAATATTAGTTTGTTATTCTAACTTTAACACTTCTTAGATGTTATTCATTTTAAAACTCGGAATATTTTTGTTATTCTTCAGGTCAGTTCTACACAGCTACAATGGTGTTAGTAGCTGCCTCGGTGGGCATGTCAGTCATGGTACTTAACTTCAACCACCGACCGCCAGGGGCTCGTCGGGCGCCGAAATGGATGCGTCACCTACTCCTCCAATCTCGATGTTCACGGCTCGTATCTCTAAATGGAGTACAGTCCTTCGGTAAGTTTGCTATGAAACATTTGTGGCCTCACATGACGTAGTTATTACGTTGGTTGGCAAATGCTTTTGGGTGAAAACTATGTGTGGATTCAACAAAGGCATAGGACTCTCAGATGACATTAATTTTAATCGGGGACATTAATTTCCTGGAATCTGCCTTGCCAGAGTTTAAATCATTAAATGTTGGTGGTTGTGGGAGATAAAAATAATTAAGATGATTACTGGGAATGGTTCTGTGGTGAACAAGGGTGAGTGGTGATGGTGACTAATTGACGACATTTGTGCTGATGTACACGGGTGATTATGTTGATAATGACGATGGTGAATTTGTGTGGTGGTGATACAGTGATGACAGTGATCACAAAGTTGAAGTCAATCACAAATCACCACAAGTCAGTCACAAGTCATTCAGTCCTAAGTCAGCTCACAAGCCATTTACATGGACTAAGAAAAGACATTTCTCTTGCTCATCTAATAGATCTGACCTGATTTGTAAACTGACTTGTGAGTTGACATATGACTGACTTGATTCCAACTTGGCTTAAAACAGAGATGAGGACGAACAATGGCAAGGCAATGATAGTGACTTTGATGTCATTGATAGTGACAGTCAAAATGGAGATAATAAATGTACTGAAGCAGACAATAAAGGGACAACACGATGTTCGACCGTCGTTCACTAGAAGTCACTATTAAGTGTTTATTTGCAATGTCAGATCCAGAACCAAATTTTTGGGTGGGGGTAAACTTGTTTGGGATGGACAAAAATTTTGGAACTTTTTGCATATGCCTATAACCTTTTCTGGCATTGTGGGATTTTATGAGCTTCCTACAGGCCTTGGGAAAAACCATCGTTTTTCTCTCATTTTTTTAATTTTGAAAATTTTGTCAGGTTCCTTTTTTTGGGGGGGGTGGCCCTTTGATCTGCGCTTGCTTATTTGCTCATTTGTATATACCTCCACGAACCTCCTGCAATTGCAAACTTTTCCTATATAATTCAACCAAACTGTGGTTGTGATATTTTCTTTATGAAACCTAATGTGTGCGGTCCTTACAAATGTCCAAGTCACCTTCGTTAAGAGGAAAACCAGAATGGCTGCTTTGCGAGACGATGATCTGAGATTTGACTTGAGGACTAACGTGAAATACCAGGGACGCTCACAGGTTTGGCCCATGCAGCTGCCGGTTTTCTAGTGAACTCTCATCTAATATTTCAAAGGGAGCAATGTGCGATTCAGTGCTACGCAATCGATGTTAAGTTTCCGTTCTCTTTCAACATCGACTTAAACCATCGTTGTTTTCTCTCAGCTAAGCAGATTGAAATTCTGAGTACTGTGTCGCCGAAAACAAATAGCTCTTTTAGAAAATTCCGATAGATATATATGTGTGTCTACTGATGTTCCCTACTCCAGATCATGTAGCGAAATGCCAGCAATATTTTTTTGAAAATGGTCAGCCAAAATAATAAATGTTCATTTTTGGGATCACTGTGACTTCGTAAAGCCACTTCCGATTCACTGAAGGTCGTTAATCGTCCTCTTGATGATACATTTTGTACTCTTCCGCACGACTTTCTACTCCCCCCTTACCGAAATTACCAAGAGTGAACATTTTAAGGGGTGTGGCATCATGAGCAGAAGTTTGATGAATTTTTGTTTTCATATTGCATTGGTATTCTTATGGCGTCACTCATTTAAAAATCTTGGCACTAAGACACTACGATAAGCAGTAGTCAGGTTAACGTAATGGTTATTTCCTCACCTTCCACCTCTGCAATTCAGGTTCGAATCCTACCTGGGTCAGTTGTTGCATGAATAAATATAAATAAATAAACAACTTTTTAAGTTTATACGAAAGAGTGCTCCGCTTTCAACAAGTGAACATTATGCAAGAGTGTTACGGCGCATTCTAAAACCAAAAATGTGGGTATAAGAAACAAATCAAAAGAAAAAAGTGACCGAGTAGGAGATGTTTTGTAGCTCAAAAATATAGTTTTGTACGAAGTGACAGTCCATCAGCGATTACTACCAGGTATAACAGTGACATGACCCTGTAGCTACCATCTGATCTAGTGGCGATCAACAGTGTTGCCAAGATGTTCGGACGCTTTTGTCTTTGTAATTTTATTGTGCTGGTGGATTCTAACCCTAAATGAACCCAGCAAGACTCGGCCAAGATCGCCAAGATCTTTGGGTCCATGGAATTGTCGCCTTTTATAAGCATCTGTTTTTCTCATTTTTGCCTGTCTCTTGTCTGCTTACTCAATTAACTCATTTCACTCACTCTATAAATACGATTTCATCGGATTTCGTTGTATCTGAGAAGTAGTGTTGACTTCTTTGACCCATTCAACACCGAACCTTAATTTTTAACTATGCTTCTTGAGATGTATTTTCTGTGGAGAGCATGTTTATTTATGGTAGTTTTGATGCATGCTTAAGTTGCATTTCAATTATTTTTCACAGATAACTTAATGTAGTCCCAACATTCTAGAGTATAAACAAATAAAATCATTTTAACAACCTGCATGGTTCTATAGCTTTACCATTTTTAGTGTTATGGCATATTTTGGGACATGAATGGTCAGACTACTACTGCACGCCACGAACTTGCTGCATCTTATAACAAGAATAGTTCAGTAAAAACATAATTTTTCCTCCATTCTAACCACTTCTAAAGACGTGATGCGATCAGCCAAAGAGCCAGGGGACAGCCAGGAGAGGTGACCTACACGCTGTCTCCCTCCGCTAAAACAACCAAGTCCAGCTGTCTCTCTGAAGATTACTCCGCTAGCGACCCCCTCCCCGAGATAGGCGCTAGCATGTTGCGCTACCCGTCCAGTCCTAAGCTCGGCCGGCCGGTAGGCTGCGATCGCCCCAAAGAAGCTGAAACCTGTGTGAGCGACAAAAACAAGAACAAGCAGACCACACTAGACATTGTGTCCCCGGTAGGGGCGCCGAGGCAAGATAGCGAGGCCCGTGACACGTCGCCTCTCGAGCGGCTGCTCACCAACATCTCGGGAGATCTGAGAAAGTTGGTGGAACACAAGGAGGAAGAAAAAGAAGATGAGGCTATCGTTGATGAGTGGAAGTTGCTGGCTAAGGCGGTGGACAGAATCTTCCTCTTCACATTTGTGGGATCGTCTATAATTCTTTCCGTCGTCTTGGGTTCAGAAATGATGAGGAGAAAAGAACTAACCGCAGAGTAGCATTGGAGGAGAAAATAAGATTTCCATCGCAATTGTCCAACCTTAAAATCTGTGCAGGCATCTTTCACTTTGCTTTTGCTTGCTTATATCATAATCTTTATTTTAAAAAAATCCTCCTGACAGTTTATAAATAACGAATCTGTTTTCATTCTCCAAGCAAACTGCCAGTGATTCCCTTACAACTCTGTTGTCCACATTTGAGACATATTTTAGTCTGAATAAAAAAGTGATTCTTATCCATATATGGATAAATGCAATAAGTTTTTCTTCAAAAACCTGTGGCTGATGTATGAAGGATAAATAAAAACTAAGATAGTTACTCAAAATTACAAATTCTATTCTATGTGCATGTACTATGTAACACAATATATCTGTATAAGTTCTGATCAATATTTCATCCAAAATAGTGCCAGTGATAGTTTACAAGTGGGTTTGGTCACGTGATTAAACTATCAATTACATCATGCCAATCCTACTGTTTCTATTTTGGCTAAACAAGTACAGAGAAAAATGAAAGGAAAGATTTTTCTGTGGGTCTCTTGGTTCTTTTGTTGAATATGCCAAAATATTTCGTGCTGTTACTGGGCTTTCAACGCTGTTGCAGTTATGAATTCATTGGAGAATGCTAGAATGTTTGGAACAAAAAGGTTTTTGTAGGATCAAGTGTGAAAAAGTGCATACAATTTTGAATGTAATTTGGCACGAAGTTGGACAGATTTTCGAAAAACGATGCCCTGTTTTACAATGTTGAAACATTTCTTGAATGGAAATGTTTAAAAAAGAAGAACAGGCAAATGAGTAAACGATCTGTATTGAAATGTCATGACAATCATACTACTTGAGGTTAACTTTTGAAAATCCTGCTTATATAGTTACATCGTGAATATACATTTAATGTATTCATAGAACTCTTTAGGAGTTGGTTTAAAGTAGTTCTATATATACCTTGCATTTGTAGCAGTCAAAGAAAATACTATGGGAAATAGCTTTATAATAATCATTTACAAACTGTGCAATACATTATAATATCAACTTGGTACTGTGATCATAGTGAGAAAAATATAGCTTGATTTTATCCACATTGAAGCCTTCCTGTCTTGTATTTGACATAACGCTGGTTCACAAGAAGCCGTCGGCGTTTGTGATTAGTACATGTATATTATGCACGTATTTTTCTCTTGTGTATAAAATCTATACTTTGTTGTTGGAAAAGTACCTTTCGTAGCATTTTACGACACAGCTTGACTTGGACAAAGGATCTGACGCATCGCGTGTGTTCAATGGCTCTGGACAAAAGAATGGAACAGCGCCCTCTCTCTTGTACTAAATTTGTCTTTATTACGAACGGGCACGACGGTATCCGTGTTGTCATTGACCGGCTCACCAAGTGTCTGAGAACCGAGGACAAGGGACCCTCTCAAATCCCTCTTTTTTCTTTCAACATTTAGACAAATATAATTTTAACCTCAGATTCTGAGTGTTGTTCTCTTGAAACTGTCCATGCAGTTCTCAAATTGACTAACAAGCCTTGGATTTGGGGTTTTCGTTTTACTTTTCTTTATTGGGATGTTTGTTTGTCGGGGTGTTTGTTGGGGTGTTTCTTTGTTTGTTTTGCCAAGGCTCTCCTGAAAAGAGGGCATTGTAAAGGTGGCCGTTCCAAATTCCGCAGAAATTCACTTACTTTGGTGAGAGAGGGCTAGGAGTGTCTTGTAGCATTCATTTTAGACACTCTATTCATATTCAGACAATGAGACCAGTAAAGCACGTGGACTTTAACCTCTGGTGGTTAACCAAAATGGTCAACTGCAGCCCACGCGTCTGCTAACTTACATTATTACACAAACTCTGGTTTGGTATAAACAATAGAAACATTTTAGACACAGAGGAAAATTTGCTACATGTAGGCCTAGTGGTATTTAAACTTTAAAAGCTTCTGAAATCGAGGTGTGATGTACTAATGAGACAAGATAACAATGTGTTATGGAATTTATCGTTGTATCACCTGTTGGTTTCTTGTAGTTCTTTTCTACATCCGTGAAGTTAATTATGGAGTTGTGTATAATTTCAACGTTTTAGTTCAATTCAATTAAGAGATCGGGTTATGGAAAACCTGTCGCTTTTATTAAAGTAGAACTCTAGAGAATATGGAGATGATGTATGTGATACATTTACTTCCATTTCATTTTAAAGTCGAGTTTCAACCATTTTCAGACAGGAATTCCTATGTTATTCAGCAATGGGTTTTATCTTGTTTCCAGAAGGATCGTGTAACATTCTGTGGGCAGTGTCCGAAATATACGAACAACCGGCCGAGCCGAGCAAGCAGGAGACGGTGGGAATGCCCCGGAGATTTACGGGGCTTTCCCGTTCCGTATTCCGTGGACGGCTCGTAAAACAACCATAATGCCATCCGTGACACTTAGACCATGGAGTGAGGAGCTAGTCCCGGCTCACTGGCACGCTTTCATCGTAATGTCCGCTTACCGTGTAAACTTATCAACGAATAGAGATTACACCTGCTTTCGAGACAAACTGTACCGTAGGCCTTCACAATGGAACAGCTGAAGGCTTCCTACCTAAAAGCGTCCGAACAACGTTGCCACCTTCCTCTTTCACCTCGCTTGCTATTGTGACTCTTTGGAGATAAATAATTAACAGTACATTATTTTGTTCGGTAAGAAAATGTTTCAGGATAAAATGTTTCAGTTTTATTTTACATTCATTGGTGCTCGGGTGGGTGCTAGGTTCTAGACTAATTCCCACACATTCCCGGGGATCATATTTTCCCCCCAAACGTGGTATACAGTGGTCAAATTTCCACAAACGCAATGCTAAATTAACAATAAAAAACCAAAACACAGCTTAAGCATGCATTGTAAAGGGAGCATCTAATCTGGCATGGAGATAGGGGTGCACAAGGCATTCTTCAGTCAAAAATAACCCAGCCGAAAATGCCAAAATAACGAAATTTCTTATTCTCACGCATGGCAGCACATACGACAATAGTTGCTAAATTCGATTCTCCAAATTTTTCACGATATCGTTTCCAAGTGATTTTTAGAGATGGCACTTTGTAGGCAGACTAATGAGTTGATCTTTTGTTCTGCGGCAACTCGAGGACACGTTCCTTCCTCACTGATAACAGACCAAAACATTGCATCGGAAGGTACCTGGTTAGGTTCCGGGAAGCCAGCTTATTCCTCAGAAATCGAGCTCTGCTCACCGAAATTAACAGTGGGGAATTTGGAGTGTGTAAAGGACAACTTAATCGACTCAGAGGAAGTTGAGGTTTTTGGTTAAGGGGGGGGGGTGGGGGCAAACCACATTCATATACCTGCGATGACCCTGAAACTGTTTCAACTTTTATTGACACATACAAAACTTCTTGGAAGTACGTGCTGCGAGCGTGATTTAAAAATATGGACGTGACCGAAAACTGGGACAAAGTACAGAAATCCCATGATTGTTTCAACGCTATGTTTTAGCGGAGAACGAATTCAGGCGGGTCGATTGTGGTTTGCTGGTTGGCTAAGGTTGTGGTTGGCATTCGACCTTGTCATGTGACATATTATCTGTCTGAAATGTTCATAAACGTTTCATGTAAGATTTCGCACAATGGAGTAATGTAAATTTATTTATGTTTTGTTTCTATTCCTATGCGTCAAGGTGGTGTTCAGGGATATGCAGATTTTCAAGAATTGTTAATCATTCTTTCTGTAATAATGTCAGAACCAGTTCCTGTTTGGTTTCTTTCCTTTTGTGACATGAAATTCTTATAATCTTTCTTTGTAACTCAAACTTGACTGGGTATAGTCGTCGACACGTGATCGGTCCGCGAGCCACGGTGTTTGCGTGAATGAACACTTACAGCTCAACAGACGGAAAACTTTTAGCTAGAAAGCTTGAAATTCTCTATAGAGGAGAAAATACACTGCAGAAAAAACCCATAAAGCAAGAATATTTACCTGCAAACACTGGGAAATCGGGAATGTTAGACCTAGCCGGCTTATTCATATACAGAGCGATCTGAGCTTCTCTTTTAGTCATCTTGAATTATGATCTGAGGAGCAATCGACACGTCGATTAAATTCAACGTAGGCCTAAAATCATTCCTGTGAAATTTCCTCATGCAAGGCACTTATGCCTTGTGATGGAACTCAAAAACGAACCGTATCAACCATTGTTAAATTCACAGATTTGGCGTAGAAAAGGACAATCCAAACAACAGCGCAACAGACGCATCTCTGGACAGCAATGCCACAAGAAGATTGTACTGCGGATTATATCATAGGAAGTTGTATAAAATCAAAGTTGCAAAGGAAACATAAAATCATATGGCCCTGCTGTGGTGAATTATCGTGTTCCACACTCACTTTATTTCTCTCTCTAACGCTACTTACTCATAGGAGGAAGACAATAAAAATACGTAAATATTTAGTGAACTTCATTGTTAGGATTTGCATCTAAACCAAATTCTTTTGTTTGGCAGAAGCAATGTGCAGGTCATTTATTCACCTTATCTCACTCGCTAGACTCTAGAAATAAGGAATTAAAAAGGAAAGGCAGAGGCTGCCTCTCCTTCGATTGTGAGAAGACCCGTCCCCTCAAAAGACTTAAGGACGGAGCTGGTTTTGCCACAAGATAAGTTAGCATACATCTCCTGGAGGTGTAACACATTTAGTATATAGATCATTCTGCAATGAAATACTCAAAACTCAAGGTTCCCTCGCTCACAATATTCTCACAGAAAGAAATATATTTGCGTTTTTTTCAGCAGGCTGGCCTGTAGCAAACGTTTTGGATGCTTTGATCATTTTTAATTTGTCATACTTGTACCACAGAGGCTTTCGTTGAATAACTGCAATTTCTAAACCAGCCCCATTCGAATAACAAAAATTGCCATTCTGTCATACCGCAAATGAATCAATATTATAACATGAATTTGATGGACAAGTGAGTTTTACGGGAGGGGGTAGCGGGAATGTGCAATACATCATATAGCGGTATTTATCTGCTACCTAAAAATAGGTTTGAGTATTTACCCTTGATAGACAATAAAACACCTGTTTTGTTGTGTTTTTGACCAGGATGGTGACATTATTGTAATTAATCAAGGGCTCCTTGGGGTCCTTAAAAGTGCAGCCACTCAAGCCGAAGGCCCGAAGAGACTCCAGATCAAGGGTTTTTCAATGTTGGTAGAGAGTGGAAACCCACATGTTTCCCGAGCTGGAATTCGAACCTGGGACCGACACAGACTGCGCCAACCTGACTGCTATAATTATTAGCAGATATTTGCACTTCATTATTTCACAAACGGAAAACCGGGTCGTCCGGATTTTAGCAGGTCAAGGCTGGGGACGTTTGGAAGTTCTTACTGCACTTCGCGCACCTGGTGTTACATAACGTATAGCTTGGAGCAAAGTACAAAGGGACTGTGGCAATTACATGTACAATTACATCTCACCTTGTTCCCTTCCCATCTGGCATAAAATTTATATCGTCTGTGCTCAAACTGTACTTTTCAGGCCGCCCTTCAACCAATATACCAAGGACTTGCGGTAAAAAAAATTCTCGCTCGGGGGTAGAACAATAGAGGAAGTTCGCTGGTAGTAAATACTGCTTTGTCTTGCTGATTGTTGACTGCGCCACCAGATTGAACTGCCAACGAGAGAGATGAACCATGAGATTAAATGGAATGTCGAGAAAAGTGTATTCGAGGAAACTGTCTCATTTCTATTTGGGGTCACAACTACAGAAGCTTCCTAGTACATGTATGCCTACAACTGAAGTAGTACAGTAGGTCTAGTACAGTATAATTAAGTATACAATTGAAGGGGGTAGATCTACCCTCATGTCGACAGCGATTAAAAAGAAACTTCGTTTTATTTGAACAAAGGTTGCAAGGAATATGTAGGCTATGTTTAGTATTCCCACGTTTAGCATTCAGCAATGATCCCGAGACAAGAGCACCTGGTCACGAGACCCTGGAAGGAGCTAAGTCGGGTCATCACTGTGACCTTTCGACCCTGGCATAATTCACTCATTAGTGTAGCTATTTTAACAGACTTGACCGTATCTTTCCGCTACACGCCTGTCAGTATGTGCGTTTTTCCTGCCTTCAACCACTCACACTATTGAAGATCCGAGGGGAAGGGATCATCCAGTTTTAGCCAGACGTATCACTCGGGGGGTCAGATAGTTCACTGGCAGCATGAGTCATTACACCGGAAGTGACTAGCCTAACCGGAAGGGCTTCCCCAGTTCATGAGCATGATGACCCAGCATGACAAATTCATTTCACAGACAGAGCTATTGTCTTTTGGGGACACCTTTCAAGGGATAGAATCCGTAAAGATTAACAACAGATGACTAATAAAACAATGAAACCACTAGAAAAAACTACCTTAAACAAAATAATAAAGAGAACTTATTAGTTGCATTCATGGATGTTAGTGATATTTAGTAATTTTTTACCGGTGCTTTACATATAGAAATATCCACGTGTTGATGGTTACAATGGAAACTAGTGTAACATCATCGTGTGTTTTTAAACCACCAACGGATAAGCACAGAATGTGCATCCATTTCATTCTGTTCCCCCCTAAACTTGTACACTACATACTTATTTCAACACCTTCGAAGTTGACAATTTTTAGGTCAAGGTAGTTGCCAATTATAGCTCGTAGGATTTTATCAATCATTCCCCAATTACCATGTTTTCCACTTAAATATGAAGGCAACTTCACTAACGTTTTATTGATTTCCTCGCCTGAGCGGTGTAGTTATCAGTTTCATTTCAAGTTGAAGGACAAACATGGAGGTCATGGCTTCATTTTCTTGAAGCTTGGCGTTTACCTTGGAGTCTTGTCTAACCGACTGTTCCATCAGAGCAAGTGTCATGGAATGTAATAATGTTGGATCTATGATGCAGCAATAAAGGCTTCTGTGCGATCTCCATAATTACCACCTGTTGCTTTAACTTGCACATTTTGTGCAGAGTTCATTATGAAAGAGCAAAATTAAAAGAATCAAAATGAATAATTGTTTGCAGTCTAAGAATAAACTATGTTTGTAAAGCCCATTGTAAGTGTTTTTAGCAATAAATAACATGCTCGGTCTGGTGGTATTACCGCAGACCGCGAGACTTTCAAAGTGC